GCTCCGGCGGTGGGGGACACAGTAGGGGCAGGGCTGGAGGCTAGCCTCCCCCAGCCAGCGGTTCATGCGCCACCCAGGCCTGCCACAATGATCAACACCCTCCACAACATACTTTTCAAGATCCAAGGGTCCTACACATGCCTATCACAATATGTCATGTACCTAAATGCCCCAATAGCAACTATGTGGGTGAAACCAGACAATCACTATGCTCTCAAACAAACACACAGAGAAAAATGACAGACGAAAAACACCTGTTGGTGAAAACTTTTCACAAAGTGATCATTCAAAGTCTGACCTATCAGTCCCAATGCTCAGAGGAAATCTGCACAGCACTTTCCAAAGATGAGCCTGGAAGCTTAAATTCAAGTTTACTAGATACTAAAAATCATGGACTGAATAGAGAACCACATTTACGGCTTATTACAACATTCTGTAACCCACTAACAACCATCTCCCAGCTGTTTCCTCGCCCCCGTCCTACCTATGACTAGAGGGGTGTTAACGGGCACTTCACTGTGAATGGTCCCTTGAAATATGTGTTAACTAATGCTAAACAATCTGTTCCACCTTGTATTTAGCAGTGAGTTAGTTTCTCAGACCTGAAGAAGAGCTCTATGTAAGCTCAAAAGCTTGTCTTTCTCACCAACAGAAGTTGGTCTAATAAAAGGCATTACCTCACATATTTGCCTGAACCTAGGAGTGCTGTGGTGCTTCCTGTAAATTTACAAGTATTGTGAGGGTTTAGTATTCCTATGCATTCTGCAATACATGTTGTGAAGTAATACAAATAATTTTATTCTCCAAAAATTGAAGTTTATTGAGTGGCAAAAAACAGTGCAGAAAAACAATGGCAAAAAACAGGAAGCAATGCAACACAAACTTTTAACATAAATTAACAGAATGGACCTTTAAAATTGGAAAAGCAGCAAACATTTTGGTCCATTTTAGTACACAAATGTATTCCACTGTGGCTACACATACATCAACTGTGGTTCTCTCAGGTCAGTGTATATGAAGCTAGGGGTTTCTTTTCTGTCACCTGGTATGGAGCGGAAGGGGTAAGGATGTGGCCCATGATGCCACATGGTTTGTTGGGGAGCATAGGGAGCTGCTACCATGGAGTTTTCCAAGAATTGCAAAGGGTGGGGAATCTAGAATTTTTGGATCTGTAGATCAACCAGGGTCTGCAGCATCTGGGTTTGTTGCCCAAGAAGACCTATTATGTACTGATGCATCTCCCTGTCCTTTCCTGTTGTTCGTGGTCCAATGCCACACTGGCTTGCCAGATCTCACTGACCATGTCCTCCCTAGTCCTCTTTCTGTTCCTCATCAGGGCCAAGTGTTCTGCAGGTGTGGAGGGGGCACCCCTCAAGGCTGCAATGGCAGCAACTGCTGATAAAAACAGACAGATGTATCATTAGATTTACAGTCACAACACAAAGGGAAACGTAAGTTTCAAAACTCCCTTCCCTTATTCCCATGTAAACTTTTAATAAGACATGCTTACTGACACTTCAGCACTGCTCTCCAGCACCAACCATGCTGAATATGGCCCACTCGGTGAGCAGGCAGAGCAGGGGAGAATTTTGGTTGCATGAAACAATAAATTTTCAGCCCCGATTCCATGAGTATGTGCCTAGGATAATGGCACTGAATATTAGCTCTATTTTCCACAGGCAGTGGTGATTTTGGCTGATATCTCACTCCTGGTGGTAATAAAGGCACAGCAAGCACAGCTACTACTGGTGTCCTGTGTTCCCTCTAAGCTGCTTGGCCATGCGGCCTCCCCAGAGTCAATCAAGTGCCGCACACTTGGTTAGCAGAGCACCCCCTCTCCCCCCACTGCTCTGCAGCTGCACTGCTCCTGCCCTCTGCCTTGGAGCCCTTGGCCAGCTGCTCCTGAGACCCTCCTGCTTGCTGTGCAGAGTCAGGGGAGGAGGAGGGTGGTGCTAATGTCAGGGTGTCCCCATCCCCCCACCCATGTACTCCATCACCACAGAATGGGGGAGGAACAGAGCTCAGGAGCTGGACGGAGCTGCTGGCCAGGGGCGGGGAGTTGTATGGGCCCCGTGGTGCCTGGCCTTCAGCAAATTCAGGGGCCCATCTGTCGCCCCCGCATGCCTTCCCCGAGTGTCTCTGCCTGCCTTGAGCAGTGGGCAGCTACCCCCTGCAGCTCCGTGTTGTGCTCCCTCACCAGCCGCTGCTGGCTACAAGGGGACAGGCTGAGGCGGTTGCTGTGCCTGTGGAGGGAGGAGGGAAGGAGGCGCATGGAAGTCCTCCCCAGTCTGGCAGGCAACACCATGGGGGAGGGGCTTATACTGGCTGGACCTCCTGAGCAGCAGCTTGGGGGGGCTTGGGTGAGTATCGTGCTGGGGGGGGGCTGGTCCTCCCCCAGAGCTCGCTGCTGCTGGCGGGGAGAGGGCTGCAGGGTGTCCTCCTCTCTGGCCCTGAGCCACAGCCCCAGGGCAGCCTGTCTGCTGCACCCCAAACTCCTCATTCCTGGCCCATTCCCATGCCCCACACCCCTCCCACACTCCAACCCTCTGTCCCAGCCCAGAGCCTGCACCCAGCACCCAAACTCCATCCCAGAGCCCCTCCCTCACCCCCGTCCCAGAACACAAACTCTATCCCAGAGACCGCATCCCTCCCACACCCAAACTCCCTCCCAGAGCCTTAAGCAGGTGTGGGGGAGGGGGAAGGGCGGGGTGCGACTTGGACCCATTCTGGGCTTCTGCAGTTTCCACATTATGCATCCAATGAAGTGAGCTGTAGCTCACGAAAGCTCTTGGTCAAATAAATTGGTTAGTCTCTAAGATGCCACAAGTCCTCCTTTTCTTTTTGCTAATACAGACTAACACAGCTGTTACTCTGAAACCTGTATATATGTGTATCTCTCTTTGTCTCACACACACACACAGTCTCTCTGTCTCACTATAGCAGGGCGGTCACCCCACCCGAGTTTGGAAGGGGTTGAAATCAGCCCTGGTAAAGGGCTGCTCCGGGGAGCCAATCACGAGCGGGCTTGAGGCAGCCAATCACAGCCCAGCTGGGCCAGTATAAGAAGGGCTCCTGGGGAGAAGGAGGGGAGTCTTGCTCCAGCAGTGGAGCAAGAAGGATCTAGCTGCCTGGTAGAGGCAAGGGTACCTTGACTAGAGCAGTACTGGAAAAGGGGAGCTGAGCTGGGGAGCTCTGGCCTGGCAACTTCCCAGGCTGAGGCCTTGTGGCAAAGGCCTGAGGAGGTACTAGGGCTGCAGGGAGGCAGCCAGAGCAAGAAAAGGCAGCAAGTCTAACCCCCTTGCCAGTGATGAGTGGCCACTTCAGACTGCAGTTTGCCCCTGAGAGAAGGGACTAGATGATGACTGGCAGTAGCACTGAGGAAAGGTGGGTATAGGAGGGTTGGGGTTCCTCTGGGAAGGGAAACCCAGAGTGTGGGGACTCTGCTGTGGGGCAGTATCCCAAGGTAAGGTGATCTGGGAGGGATGCGGGGCCTGAACTGGTGGAGATAAAAGGACTGCAGAGGGGCAGGTAAGGATAGGGGAGAAATTGGCCAGAGGAGGGTGCTCCTGAGCTGGATGAGCTAATTCCTGGACTAGACCAGCAGGAGCCACCATGCTGGTGAGTCAGTGCTGTTACTCACACATACTCTCTCAGTTTATGTGTATGTGAGAGACACACACACAGTCTCCATCACACTCACCTCCCAACATTGTGTTGTTGTTTGTTGTTACTACTTCCTGCAATACACACACAATCTCTAATTTTATTCTTTCAAAGTGCTGTTTTTTAGTTTTTTGACTGGTCTATGCATTTCATGCTTAAATTTAATTCTTTGAGTAGAGAGTTCTAAAATACCTAACTGTCCTGGATAGAGTAATTATCCCTATGGTAATTTTTAAACAATATATATTATATCTAGGTTTCTTCGAGTGCTTGCTCACATCTGTTCCATTCTAGGTGTGCACACATGCACAGTTGTCAAAGATTTTTGCCTTAGTAGTATCCATAGGGCCAGCTGTGGCACCCTGTGGAGTGCCATGCCCATGTGGTGGTATAACAGGCGCCACCAGCCCTACACTCTCTGTTCCTTCTTACTGCCCAGGATGGTTGGTTGGAGCACCTGGTCTTGCTTAGCAAGAGCATTAGTGATGCTTCACTGTTTAGATCATTCTCCTTTGTTATTTAGTAGAGTGCTTAGTTAGCTGTAAAGTGTTTTAGTAGTTGTTGGAGTCCCAGGTGGGACTTTGTCCTGTAGTGGGGCATGCCCTGCTTCCCAGGCTTCAAGCGGTGTTGTGAGTGCAGGTGGCCGATGCCCATCCATGACCCTCATGAGAGTTGTTTGAAATGCCTTGGGGAGTCCCATAGAAAAGACAAGTCCTGGATCTGCAAAACCTTTTGTCCCCAACTCAAAGAGCAGGGCATTCAATTGAGGGCCCTCCTCATGAAGGCCACTCTACACCCAGTATCAGAGTCCTCGCACTCCACTCCTGGTACTTCAGCATCAGCACTCAGTACGCCGCCAGCACCAGAATCCACCTGACACTCTTCCCCTTCACTGGTACTGCAGAGGAACCTAAGCTAGGCCTTGTGTCTGCAACGGAGGTTTTCAGGGGTTCCGCTGTGGTCAGACCCCCTAGCTTGGCCAGTGCCCCAACTCCAGGGAGCAGTAGGGGGTCCCAGCCCATCGCAGGACCATCTGTGCCCAAGGCAGGCCCGGTGGCCAGCACCACTGAAGCCTGCCCGCAGGCAAGACACCTGTTCAGGTGACCAAGCCACTTATGGGACCACCCCTGAAGGCAGTGGAATGTCCCTGGTTCCCATACCGCAGGTGTCAGAACTCCGGAGTCATGACGCCAATCCTCATACTCCTGGTACCGACTATCCTCCCACCAGAGATCGCCAAGATGCCAGTCACTATCGCCTCACAGATCTCCCAGGCATCGGTCCCCTCCAGCACGAGACCCTTCCTGGTTGTGGCACTAGTCACTGGGGCTCCGGTACCGTTCTTTGGGCAGACACCAGCCTTCACCTTCCCCATACCAGTTGCCAATGAGAGTCGGTTGACAGACTCAGTCTTCCACAGCCCTGCCCTGGTCACCAGAAGGACAGTGGTCCAGGTTGCAGGGACACTTCAAGCCCTTCCCCTGTAAAGGGTGAATTGTCTCTGAGCCAGGAACCACCAAGGCGCATGCAGCACCGGCAAGGGGTCAAGGACAATGGCCTGCCCAGTGGCAATACTGGAACCCGTGATGGGTGCCTGTTATGCTGGCACTGTACTCCCACTACTCCTCCCAAGCTGCATCGCACAAGCTACCTCTGGCACAGCCGGGACTGATGTCTGAGCAAGGGACCAAATCTGAAGCGGCGACTTCATGGGAGGCCCCAGCGATACCCTCCAGATATACTCGTCCTCTTCCCCAGATGAGGCAGTGGCAGGGCCCTCACAAACCTGTAGCCTCACCCCCAATGACTTCAGGGAGCACCAAGCCCTACTTAAAATGGTGGCGGCCAACCTGAACTTGGAGGTTGAGGAGTTAGCTGAGGAACCTGATGACCTCTTCAATGTCATTCCCTCCTCTGTCCCAGCCTGGGTCGCATTGCCCATTCACCCAGGAGTCCGAAAGATTGCCAAGTCAGTGTGGCAGACCCCATCTTCTGTTCCACCCACATCCAAGAAGGTGGAAAAGTACTATGTCCCTGCCAAGGGGGATGAATACCTTTACACGCACCCTCCTGCAGGGTCCCTGGTCATGTCCACTGTCAACAAAAGGGACAGGCAAGTGGCACCCCCAAAAATAAAGATGCCAAGAGGTTGGACTTTTTTGGCAGAAAAATTTACTCAACAGCCAGCCTCCGATTTAAGGTCCCTAATGATCAGGACCTACTTGGCAGATACAATTTCAACCTGTGGGACTCCATCAGCAAGTTCAAAGAGAACCTCCCACAGGAATTTGCCACTGTGGTGGAAGAGGGCAAGGTGGTAGCCAGAGATGTACTCCAGATGGCCTGTGATGCCACAGACTCAGTGTCCAGGGTGGTCACCTCTGCGATAGCCATGCAAACAACTCTCTCCAGGACCTCCCTTTTGAGGGAACAGGGCTTTCTTGGAGGTAACTGATGCAAGACTCCATAGCCTTAGACTCTCAGGCCACCCTCTACTCTTCGGGTCTGTATACTCCTCAGCAGGCTAGAAAGCCATTCTGCCTTCTGCTGTTGTCGAGGTCTTGGGGTACCCCTCGTTTCAGCTCCTACAAAAAGGACAAAGATGGTTGTGATGTTTCCGTCCAGTGTTATCCAGACTGGTTATCTGCTAGGTCACTCCAATCCTTGACTCTGGGAGCCAGCCTTACCCTGCTCTGCTGTGAGAGCCCCCCCACTCCTGGGCTGTTCACGCCCAGCCTCTGGCATGTAAGCTGCTCCTTGGATTGTGCAACCAAACAACACTAGCCAATATCTCCGGTCCCAGACACAACCCTAGGAACCTCTGTCTTGCAGTGTCCCGTTATGCCCACTGGATGCTGCAAGCTTACGAGTTTATCAATTTAACAAAGAAATTGATATGTACCAGGCTTGTTATCCCAAGGAGAGCCTCTGACACACTTCAAACCAAACACACTGCTTCAGGTAGAATAAACAAATTTATTAACTACAAAGATTGACTTCTAATCACTTAATCTAAGCACAACAAGTCAGATTTGGTCAAATTAAATAAAAGCAAAAAGCATTCTAAGTTGATCTTAACCACTTTCAGTGCTCTTACAAACTTAGATGTTTCACAGCACAGGCTGGCTGGTTGCCCTTCAGCCAGGCTCTCCTCTTTGATCAGCGCTTCAGTCACTTGGTTGTAATGTATGTAGATGGAGGTGGAAGAGAGAGGAAGAGCATGGCAAACATCTCCTTTTTATCATGTTCGTTCTTCCCTCTTGACTTTGCCCCCTCCCCCTTCAGAGTCAGGTGAGCATTACCTCATTGTAGTCCCAAACTGACCAAAGGAAGGGGGGTGACTCACTCGAGAGTCCAACAGATTTTGTTGCTGCCTTGGCCAGTGTCCTCTGTTCCTGTAAGACTGGGTTGGGTTTGTCCCATACATCCCCTGATGAGGTGTGAACTACCCCTCTGCTCTTGGAGTTTTTCCTGGGCTTGTTTTAAGCCATGAGGACACATTTTCAGCCTCACAACTATATACATGAAATTACACCTATAACAATGCTCAGTGCATCATGAGCCTTCCGAAGACACCCAACATGACATCCTTTACATCTCATAAGGATGAACATGGGGGTGTAGGGTGTTCCCCCTCCCCCACCCCAAGTTACAGAGCATCACAATGGGTTTTAAGCAACACCACCAGTCGTCATCTCATCTACCTGCCCAGCCTAGTCCTTCCAGGGACCAGGGTAGCCAAAAGGAGTCATTTTGAGGGTGCGCCTGAGGATGACACCCCAGTCAGTGCACCAGATCTGCTCCCCATCTTCCTCAACTGCCTTCATCCTTTCTGGTTGGCCTGGACTCATATTACCTCAGACCTCCGGGTGCTTGATACTGTTATCAGGCAACCCTGCACTTTATAGCCGACCAACCCTTCCACCCCCCTTCCCCGTCCCTCTTCAGAGACCCTTCTCACAAGCAACTCCTTGTTCAGGAAATCTTAACCTCCTGTGCCTGGGGTAGTGGAAAAGGTTTCACAAAACATGGAAGAAAGAGGATTTTACTCCTGCTACTTCCTAATTCCAAAGGCAAAAGCAGGGCCTCAGACCTATTATAGACCTATGTTGTGTCAACAAGTCTCTCAAAATGTTGAAGTTTTGTATGGTCTCCATTCCCTCCCTGGATCCAGGAGACTGATACACATCCCTCAGTTTAAAGGATGCCTACTTCCATATATTCATCTTACTAAGGCACCAGCATTTCCTCCATTTCACATTGGGCCAGCGCCGTTTTCAGTTCACAGCGATGCCCTTTGGTCTCTCATTGGCCCCCAAAGTGTTCAAAGCGTATAGCACCAGTGGCCACTTACCTGCGATGTCAAGGAGTCCAAATCTACCCATACCTCGACAACTGGTTGATAAGGTGTGGATCAGGTATGGAAGCATCTAAATCTGGTCTTTTCCACTTGCTGCAACCTGGGCCTAATAATAAATGACAAAGTCAACCCTCACCCCAGTGCAAAATATAGAATTTAATTGGGGTGGTACTCAACTCCACTTGGGCCAGAGCATTCCTATCTGAGACTCAATTCCAAGCCATGGTGGACCTCATCTAGTCTCTGCATGCCAAACCACTCACCACCGCCCACCACCTGCCTGAGACTGTTGGGTCACATGGCAGCATGTACTTACATGGTCTGGCATGTGCGACTCTGCCTCAGGCCCCTACAGTCGTGGCTGGCGTCGGTCTATGCCCCCAATCAGCACAGCATGGGTGATCAGGGTTCCGGACAGCGTACTGTCATCTCTCACCTGGTGGCAAGATCCCACATTGGTGCAGGAAGGAGTCCCCCAGTCTCCCGAAGCTTTGGATCTGGGTTGGGGAGCCCACCTGGATCTCAATACTCAAGGCCATTGGTCCAGTCACGATCAGCCCCTGCACATCCCTAGCCTGCCAAGCCATTCTGCCTCACGTACAAAACAGGGTGGTTCAGGTCCTAATGGACAATGTGGCCATGGTCTTCTATATTAACAATCGTCTGCACTCTGTCAGGAAGCGCTCTAGAATTTCTGTCTGCAGCCTGACATCCACCTTGTGGCCATTTGCCGCTCAGGAGTCAGGAACACTTGGCTAGACCACCTCAGCAGGACATTCTTGTCTCACCACAAGTGGTCCCTCCATCTGGAGGTGGTCAGTTCTATCTTCCACAGGTGGGGAAGTGCCCAGGTGGACCTATTCACATCCAGGCACAACAGAAAATGCTATGTCTTCTGCTCGTTCCAGGGCAGGGACAGGGGATCCCTGTTGGACACCTTCCTGCTCCCGTAGTTGGGGGCTCTGATGTACGCCTTCCCTTTGGTGCCATTGCTGCCCTGGGTCCTCATGAGGATCAAGCAGCACAGGGTGATGGTCATCTGCGTAGCGCCGGTGCGGCCGCACCAACACTGGTTCAGCACTCTGCTGGACCTCTCAGTGCTGCTCGGGGCAGACCTGTTTGTTTCAGAACCATGGCAGACTCCTGCACCTGAATCTGGCAGTGCTACATCTAACAGTTTTGCTGCTGTGTGGCTGAACGTGCAGGATGGCAGTGCTCATCCAAGATCCAGCAAGTAGAAAGCCTTCCACCAGGGCCACCTACCTCGCCAAATGGAAGCGATCCACCTAGTGGATAAGGGGTGACACAGGTTTGGTTACAGAGACCCCCTTGGGACTGTCACCTGATGTGCTGGAATTCCCTCTGAGCCCATTTTCCCTGCCAGCTTAGGACTCCAGAACTCTGCCTTGTTGAGCCAGACACACTAGCTTGCTGCAACACAGACCCAGGTCTGGTCCATGCCCCCAAAGCTGCAGACTTTAACTAAAAACTGCTTAGCAGGTTCCCTATCTCCATCATCGAGACACCCAGCTCCCAATGGGATCCAAACCCCAAATCCGTCGTACTCTGTATAAAGCTTTATACAGAGTAATTCATAAATTTTCCACCCTCTATAACACTGATAGAGATGTACAGCTGTTTACTCCCACTCAAGTATTAATTACTTACTCTAGGTTTACTATTAATATCAGTTAAGTATAAAGAGTAGGATTTAAGTGGCTTCAAGTAATAGACAGAACAGAGTAAGTTATCAAGCAAAATAAAGCAAAAATCATGCAAGTCTAAGCCTAATACATCAAGAAACTAATTACAGGTAAAATCTCACCTCATATTTCAATTAGCTTCTTTCACAGACTAGACTCCTTCCTAGTCTGGGCCCAATCCTTTCCCCTGATTCAGTCCTTGTTTGTTTCAGCAGACCATCTTAGGTAAAAACTAGGGGTTTTCTCATGACTGGCAGCCTCCTTCATTCTTTCCCCTTTTATAGCTTTGGCACAAGGCAGGAATCTTTTGTCTCTCGGGGTCCCCACTCCTCCTCCTAAATGGAAAAGTACCAGATTTAAGATGGATTTCATTACCAGGTGACATAGTCACATGTCACTGTAAGACCTCATTCTTCATTACCCATGGGCTGGCCCACGAGCACACAGGAAGGCTTTCAGGTAAATAAACGATTCACAACAGATTGTCCTAGTCAATAGGAGCCATCAAGATTCTAAAACCCATTAATGGCCCACACTTTGCATAATTATAATTGAATCTCAGAATTATACTTCATATTTCTAGCTTCAGATACAAATGATACATGCTTACAAATAGGATGAACACACTCAGTAGATTATAAGCTTTGTAATGATACCTTACAAGAGACCTTTTGCATAAAGCATATTCCAGTTGCATCATTCATATTCATAAGCATGTTTTCATAAAGCATATGGAGTGCAACGTCACAAGGAGGTCTGTCCTGAGCGAGCCTTGTTGCAGCTCATTCTAGACTACCTCCTGCACCTCCAAGCTCCAGGGCTTGTCGCTGTCATCCATCAAAGTCCATCTAGCAGTTATCTCAGCCTTCCACCCACCGCTCAAAGGCAGGTCGGTTTTCTCTCCGCATAGCATGGCCAGATTCCTTAAGGGCCTGGAGCACCTCTACCCGCGCCTCAGGGATCCTGTTCCTCCGTGGGACTTAAATCTGGTGCTGTTTCAGCTCACAAGCCCCGCTTCAAGCCTCTGGCTTCCTGCTCTCTCCTTCTCCTCTCCTGGAAGGTTGTGTTCCTGGTCGCAGTGATGTCGGCCCACCAGGTATCTGAGATTCGGGTGCTCACCTCAGAACTGGCTTACTGTCTTCTACAAGGACAAGACCCAGCTAAGACTGCACCCAGCCTTCCTTCCCAAGGTAATCTCTCTGTTTCATTCAAGCCAAATTTACTTATCGGTCTTCTTTCCAAAGCCACATAAGTCGGAGGAGGAGCACAAGCTGCATGCCCTGGACGTCAGATGAGACCTGGCCTTCTATATTGACAGGACCAAGCCTTTCCGTAAGTCAATGCAATTATTCATCGCTGTAGCCTCAAAGAATTTTTTTCCTGGATCACTGCCTGCTTTCACTTTTTTGCTATGATCAAGTAAAGATGCTGCCCTGGCAATAGTCACTGCCCACTCTAACAGGGCACAGGCTTCTTTGGCAGCCTTTTTGGCCCAAGTGCCTACCCAGGACATCTGCAGGGCGGCCATCTGGTCGTTGGTCCATACCTTCATGTCCCACTATGCACTTAACCAGCAGGTCTGGGATGATGCTGGCTTCGGTAGAGCAGTACTTCAAGTGGTGAACTCAGAGCCCACCTCAATATATACTGCTTGTGAGTCACCTAGAATAGAATCGACATGAGCAAGCACTCGAAGAAAAAAATTATCTACCTTTTCGTAACTGTTGCTCTTCAAGCTGTGTTGCTCATGTCCATTCCATTACCTGCCCTCCTGCCACTCTGTCAGAGTTGCCGGCAAAAAGGAACCAAGAGGGTGTAGGACCAGTGGTGCCTGATATACTGCTGCACTGAGCATGGCACTCCAAAGGGCGCCACAACTGGCCCTATAGGTACCGCTATGGCAAAAATCTCCAACAAGTGTGCACGCGGGCACGCACAAACCTAGAATGGAATGGACATGAGCAACACCTCTCAAAGAACAACAGTTACAAAAAGGTAGATAAGTTCGTTTGTTTCTACTGGTGATGCACATCCACACATTATCTTGATATTGGTGCACATAACAATTCATTCCGCACATAGATGGGGGGAAAATATTAGAGGGAACATTGCTGGTGTCCCAAAGCTACCCGGCCCCACATGTCACTAGCCTGTTTACAGAAATGGCGCCAACCAATGTCATCATTAGGGTGGCATGGGAAAATGTCCTGTTGTAGTAGTAGGATTTTGTTTGTATTTTGTTTCAGAGGAACAGCCGTGTTAGTCTGTATTCGCAAAAAGAAAAGGAGTACTTGTGGCACCTTAGAGACTAACCAATTTATTTGACCATGAGCTTTTGTGAGCTACAGCTCACTTCATCAGATGTATTTTGTATGATTTAGAAGGAAGGATAAAGAATAATGAGATAATGTAGCATGTATTAAATGTATTGGTGTAGGATTTGATCATATCCTGCCAGCCACCCTTTTTGAATAGCAGAAAGGAATGTCCTAATGGGCCATTTGGTAAAAATGCAGCAGCTGGAATCTGTGTCTGGGCTGACTTCAAGGCAGTAACAGATGTTTTAAGATCATTACTTTTGTAGGTTTAGCATTTTAAAATAAGTAAAAGAATGCCATGATTTATTGTGCATTGCAACTTGATGTTTGTTTAAAATGTTGTGTAAATTCTATTTTTGTGTGGATGAGGAATGTATGTGTAAAGAGAAGTCTGAAGGCCATCGCTGAGTCAGATGTCTGAGGGAGGAACTGGAGACAGACGCAAGTGTGCCAGGAGGCTGCAACACACCCCTATTGAAATGTCAGAGGAGGGCAGATTGACAACTCTAAAGATGAGACATACACCTATCAACGGGGACAAAATACCTGTGATAAAGAATGAGAAGGACAATTTAAGAAAAGAAGCACTTGTCAAACAACAATTGATCACAGCATGATGGTGCAAAACTTTAGTCCCAATTAAGGAAAATCCCTCTATAAACAGGGGGCCTTGCCATGAAATTTTGGGTTTGTCCTGCCAAGACTTCCCTGGAGCCAGGGCCAGTGTAACCACTAGGCAGCCGCTTAGGGTGCCAAGATTTGGGGTTGCCAAAAAGCAGTGCCCCCCAATTTTTTTTACACTATTTCTGGGAAATGAATGAATAAAGAAACGTCATTGAACTTGCATTTTAACTTGTCGTTCTCTTGTACATTACAGCTATAGCCTACGCCAGGTCTGCGTTACGGGCACAAGCGTATTGCTTCACTTTGGTACAAAGTGGCACTGACGTCATTTTTCTCATCGCGCGCAGCCATTACCCGTTCTGACAGGCTGTTTATCATGCTACGTTTACTAGTTTTTGGAGGTTGTTGACTGAGGCTAACTATTTTTGTTGAGTTGTTTCAGATCTAAGACTCTGGCAATTGCTGCTGTATCATTTCGCTAATACTTTCTCAATTGTGTGTGTATGTTAAGTATTTGAGTGTATGTTTATCATGTACAAATATCCAGCTGTAGGTTGTTGAAATTTGTCATTGATATTGTCAGTTGTATGATGGAGTATCCACCATTCTAATTTTATAAATTAATAATTGGATATTCTAAAGGTAGAATAAAATGTAGTAGATTTTTATATGAAGGAAGGAAGTATACATGACTAAAGGGTGGATTTCCTATTACAATCAACATTGCTTAATTTTAAGGAAAAGTCATCTTGATCTCTTAATCAACATTTACATCAAACAGTTGATAGTCAAATAGTGACTCATAGTTAGTGACATGTATTCTCTATCCTCTACTTTTAACAGTGAGCAAGAAAAAGAACTGATAAGAATAAAACTTCATATTTTGTTTTCAGTTGATGCAGCCTCATGGCAGATAGAGGAAAAATTTGTTGATTAAAAACATACATGCGAACATCAATGTTGCAACAAAGACTTGTTGGGCTATCTACCTCGTCAATAGAACATAACATTGCTCGCAGCATTGACTTGGAGGAACTTGTTTCTAAATTTGCTAAACTGAAAGCGTGGAAAGTAAATTCTAAATTATAACATGTTACTCTGTGACCGTGTATTGTGTATAATGTATGTGATTTATTTCAAGAACCATGCTATGTTGTGCAAAGTGAAAACAATAACAATGTCAACACTGTCCAGGTTATTCATTTATTTTCATTAAACTTGTATACTAATGAAATTTTCAAGCTGAACATGTATTAATTCTAATGAATACCACATTATGCACTATTCATTTTTGAAAGTTTATAATAAGCAATGCTTTGGGGGGAGGGGGGTGTAAAGTGGAAGTTTTGCCTAGGGTGCAAAATATCCTTGCACCAGCCCTACCCAGAGAATCATGTCATGACTGATGGAACCCAGCTCCTCCCTACCCATGATCAACCTAGCTGGCCACTAGATTGATCTGGACTCTGGACTGGTAACTATAACGTTGACTGGCAGAGGTAGGTGTGTGCGTATTTAATTGTATCTTCAATAAACATGATGTGTTGCCTTTTCCCCTGAAAAAGATCCTGTGTGCTTCTTATAAGCATAACACTGTGGAGGAAAAATTTGCCCATACCCTGTGCTCTGCAGTGTCTAGCCCTCTCCTGAAACACTCAGAGAAATAATCAGATTTGTTTGCTCCTTTAAAGAGACAAAACCCAACAACTTGCAACTCACTGGAGTTACCGTTCACTTGAATTCAAATACAGAGCTGGGTTAGTTTTAGATTAAAAGTAGAACAAGTTTATTAACAAAAGGAAATAGGATTTTTAGTGAGTTCAAGTACAAAGGATAGAAATGGTTGGAAGCAAATAAAAGTGAAAAGTACTTTCTAGAGGCTAGGACTTAACAAAGCAAGCTACAGCCTTTGTTCAAGGTAGTTTTCTTACCAATCTTCCATATAGCACAATGGCTGACCACCACCCTGGTCAGCATCTCCCACAAAGTCCAAAGTGTTCAGTTACTTTGTCATCTTAGGTGAAAGATCACTTGGGTTCTCTGCCCCTCTCGTCCAGTGAGCCTTTGAAATAGATTCTTCTGAAATAATGTTCGTTCAAGCTCTGAGGAAGGTGCCATGGTGTCTCCTGGTGAAGGAAGCTCCAGTCTGGTTTCTTCCCCAGCTGATATTTGCT